TGCCTTCTAACCTGACCATCTGAGTTCAGGACCCGGAAGAACCGATCCCTACAAACTGCCCCTCACAGGGATGCACTGCAAGCCAGCCAAAGCTTCCCCCACCTGTCTCTACTGATTTGCTGGATCTGATGCAGGAGCATTCTTCTGGAGGACTTCAAAGTCCAGCCCCACTCCGCTCCTCACAGTTCCTCTTTTTTTCTGTCCCTTTTCTCTCTTTTCTGTTTTCTCTTTCTCCCTTAAATCTTTTGTTTTAATGATTTTGTTTGGTTTGTGTGTGTGTTGTGTGTGGTTTGTTTTCAGATTACTTGTTTTTTGTTTCTTGTGACAGGGTCTCACTGTGTAGCCCTAACTGGCCTGGAACTTGATATGCAGACCAGGCTGCCCTTGAATTCACAGAGATCCACCCGCCTCTGCCTCTCAAATGTGCCATTAAAAAATGTGTGTCACCAGGACTGGCTTCCCCTACTGCTTTAACTCTGGTCTTTGCCCGGCTGGCTCTTTTCTCTGTGTGTCTGCCTTTTTTCCCTCCTCTCTTCTCTGTCTCCTCCTCCTTTCAATGTGTTCTCCCTTGGACCCACCCTTCTTTCTTTTCCTTCCCTGAGGCTCCCTGTCCTCCTCCTACCACTTCTGCGTGAGTCACTGTTTCTACAAGACCAGCCAGCCTGGCTTTTCTGCACTAGGACTGGAATTAAACGAAGGTGAGCTTGCCTCTCCCAAGGCGGTGCTAACGGATTACAGAACTTTTACAGAACGGGGAGCCAACCCAGCATGACGTAGGCAGTCTGAGCTTCCAGGAGTCAGCTTGTCTCCAAGGCTTTGCCAACCCAGGCTTTATCACACTGTGTTGATGACTCATGAGGCACAGGGCAGTAGGGAGGGAACTTTTTCCACCTGTGAGGGTTTAAGATCCCAAACAGGGAGTCCAGCAGCACAGCAGGGTCACCACGCTTCCTGTTGTGGGGCCTCAGGACACAATGCTGAAGTCAGTATTTTAGGACCCAAACTCACCAGAGGTTCTGAGGTGGGGTCAGTCATCTTCATGCTAAGGCTAGGTGTGTTGCCCCATTTTAAACGCTCACTTTTATGTCTCTGCAGCCCATTTCCGAGATGTTCTTCTTTCAAACCATCTCCAGGAGTCCTCTGTGGGCAGACAGGTGTTACGGCACTGTTTGTTTTACCCATAGGGTGCTCTTGTACCTGTGTGTGTGCATGCGTGCGAGCGTGTGTGTGTTCGCATGCACGCACACACCTTACTATAATACCTGCTATCAGAAAATGACTAAATAAATGCCTCTTATTGAGAATAACATTCATCCATTGAAGGGAATGAGGTATTCATAAAGGCATAGATGATTGATAACCAAGACCCGTGAGAGGGAAGGATGGGGGATTATTGCTTAATCCATCCAGACGGGTGTTTTGTTTTGTTGAGATCAGAGTTCCCCATGTAGCCCATGTTGGTCTGAAAATCCTGGTCCTCCTGCCTCGGCCTCCTGAGTGTAGTGATTACAGGTGTGTGACCCCAGGCCCAGTTTCTGTTTGGGGACCATTATATGATATTTTGATGTTGTCAGCACACACACACAGACATACACACTGTCACCACATGGCAAATTAGTGTGTAGACTAACATGAAAGATATTCAAAGTAAAGTGGAAACAGAAACCACGGCTAAGAAGTACAGCCTGGTATTGGCATAAGAACAGAAAGGAGGACCAATGGAACTGAATAGAAGACCCGGATATCAATCTACACATTTTTGAACACCTGATCTTTGATAAAGAAGAAAAAAAAATATCAAATGGAAAAAAGAAAGCATATTTAACAAGTGGTACTGGCATAACTGGATATCAACATGTAGAAGAATGAAAATAGACCCATATCTATCACCATGCACAAAACTCAAGTCCAAATGGATCAAAGACCTCAACATAAAGCCAGCCACACTGAACCTTATAGAAGACAAAGTGGGAAATACACTTGAACGCATTGGCACAGGGAACCACTTCCTAAATAGAACCCCAGCAGCACAGACACTGAGAGAAACAATTAATAAATGGGACCTCCTGAAACTGAAAAGCTTCTGTAAAGCAAAGGACATGGTCAACAAGACAAAACAACAGCCTACAGAATGAAAAAAGATCTTCACCAACCCCACATCAGACAGAGGTCTGATCTCCAAAATATACAAAGAACTCAAGAAATTGGCCACCAAAAGATCACATAATCCAATAAAAAAATGGAGTACAGACCTAAACAGAGAACTCTCAACCGAGGAATATAAAATGGCTGAAAGACACTTAAGGAAATGTTCAACATCCTTAGTCATCAGAGAAATACAAATCAAAACAACTCTAAGATTCCATCTTATACCTGTAAGAATGGCCAAGATCAAAAACACTGATGACAACTTATGCTGGAGAGGTTGTGGGGAAAAGGGAACACTCCTGCATTGCTGGTGGGAATGCAAGCTGGTACAGCCCCTTTGGATGTCAGTGTGGTGATTTCTCAGAAAATTAGGAAACAACCTTCCTCAAGAGCCAGTAATAACCACTTTGGGGTATATATTCAAAGGATGTTCAATTGTGTCACAAGGACATGTGCTCAACTATGTTTATAGCAGCTTTGTTTGTCATAGCCAGAACCTGGAAACAATCTAAATGCCCCTCAATTGAAGAATGGATAAAAAAAAATGTGGTACATTTACACAATGGAGTACTACACAGCAGAAAAAAATAACGACAACTTGAATTTTGCAGGAAAATTGATGAAACTAGAAAACATTATTTTGAGTGAGGTAACCCAGACACAGAAAGACAATTATCACATGTATTCACTCATAGGTGGTTTTTAAACATAAAACAAAGAAAGTCAGCCTACAAACCACAATCCCAGAGAACTTAGACAATAATGTGGACACTAAGAGAGACTAATAGATCTAATCTGCATGGGAAGTAGAAAAAGACAAGATCTCCTGAGTAAATTGGGAGCATGGGGACTTTTGTGGAAAATTGAAGGGAGGAGAAGAGAGGCAGGGAGGGGAGCAGAGAAAAATGTAGAGCTCAATATCAATAAAATAAAAAAGAAGTACCGCATAAATTATAAAAGTGTGTGAGTGTGTTCACGTGTGATCACAGAAAGGACCCATGTCACTTTCTTAGCAGTTATCAATGGAGATGGGATTGACTGGGCAGGCAAGGAAGGGGGACATTCTTGGTCTTTTATGGTACCAAAAAAAAAAAGTACTGGATTATGGATGATTCTATTTTTTTTTAAATGCATTCATTTAGTAGTGTGTATATGTGTGTGTTTTCCTCTGAAAAAGATGAAACATATTTTAGCCCACCACCCCTGTTCTCAAATATCTCAGACTCAAGTGAGAAGTTATCGGGGTAGCATACTTAGTGCAGAAACACCGTGCTGGGTCACCCTGGATCAGCTAGAAGATGCCAGGTGATGGTCTTCCTGGAAGAGGTGACATCTTGGTTTCAAATGCCAAAAGATGGTCACCAATTGGAGAGGCAGAGATCTCAGAATGACACCAGCTTTTCAGATGCCAACCGGATTCCAGACCCCACAGAATATGGGAAGGTGGTTTCCTTAAACTTCTCTCTGTGGCATTAGGAGACAGTCAGCACCCTCTACTTTCTGGTTGGAAAGTCATTGTGGGAACAAGCCAGGGGACCCTTGACGGTTATCCAAAGAAATTTCCCTTCCAAGTTCCTGAGGGAGCTCAGATTTCTCTCTGAGGTTAGGGGGTGAATTTTAGCTTTTTTTTTTTTTTTTTTTTTTTTTTTTTTTTTTCTTGAGTCCTGTGTCCCAGATGCATGATCTCCGCAGAGGCCCACAGCACTGCCCGGCGGTGCCCTCTGTTGGCCGGAACTAGAGCGGCAGGTGCTCGCTCTTGCTGTGCCTGGCTAAGGACAAGCCTGGTGGTTAGACAACCAATAGCCGGGATGGACTCTTAAAACTGCCAAGCACCAGTTCTACAGTGGGGGAGCAAAGATCTTGTCAGAATGTCAGAAAATACGGCTTTTGGGAGTGAGGCTGGATTTGAGGAGTTAAGATTTAAAAAAAAAGGAAGATTGGAAAAGCTACCTTGGAGTTTGGGAGAGAGCCACAGCCTTGCCAAATCCAGTGTGTATGTATAGCCTTTGAGGTTTTTCTTCGGGCTGGTATTTCCATCTCAGTCTCTCTCTCTCTCCCTCTCTCTTCCCACCTCCCAACCCCTCCCCAACTCTGTTACAGAGTCTCATTAAATAGCCCAGGCCGTCCTTGAACTCACAGCTTTCCTCCCTCGGCCTCCAGAGTGCTGGAGAGCTAGGACAGCAGTTTACATCATCACGTCTGACTTTTTTTCTAAGCAGTGTTAAAGTAGCAGATATTTATGAATATCAATGTGTTCATTTTTTAGTGTGATACACAAGACCTAGCAAATATATAGTAACTATATTATTTTTTCCCCACCCCACCAAGTGATAGCTATTTAAATTTGTGGTAAGTTCCTCTCATTTGAAATGCTAGACACAGAGTACAGCCCTATGCTAAAACTAAATAAGAGCTCTAACACTGGATTATACCCATCCCTCTTTATTAAAATAATTGTTTATTTTTGTTTTATGTGCATGGGCATTTTGCCTGTGTGAGTGTGGGTGTGCCATGTGCTTGCAGGTGCGGAGCTCAGAGGAAGACATCAATCCCCTGGAGCTGGAGTTAGTCACAGATGGCTGTGAGCCAACGCGTGGGGGCTGTGAACTGAACCTGGGTCCCCTACAAAAGTCGTCAATGCCCCTAACCACCGAGCTATCTCCCCAGTCCCCCCATCTTTTATTGCCATAGGGTCTCACCACATGGCCCAGGCTGACCTCCACCTGAGGCAATCCTCCTGCCTCAGCTTCTCAAGTGCTGGGACTTGTGACACCAGACTAGCCCTATGTAAGTTTCCATTTACTGCACATATATGTGCTCGTAGATAAGGCAAAGATGCACGAAATCAGAAAAAAATTACAGATACATCCTTTATTATATATACCATGCCACAAATACAGCTCGTGGTGTGCAATACACGTGTATATATATGATGTGTGGTGTAACAAGTGTGTTTCTGTCTGTGTGTATGTGTGTGTGGATATGTACACTATATGGAGGGAAGGAAGGGAGAAAAGAAAGGAAGGAGGAAGAAACTGTTTCTCCCTTAACATTCTGTGTTTAAGATTACTCCCAACTTTTTCTTCCTTGCTAAATCCACATAGTGAGTAATTCTTCTGAAATCTTCTCCACGCTCCCAGGCTAAGTGAAGTACTTTCTATCCCCATCTGCCTGTGCTTTGGGGTTCATCTGTTTCTGCTAACCGGCATTCTGGGTAGTGTGCTTGTCTGTCCTTCCTGGGGTCTCTTCCTGGGGTCTCACCTGTGAGTGTCTGGAAAAATGGAAGAATTTTTCTCCTACCGCCTTCTACCAGGGAGCAAGCAGATGATTCTGAGTCCGGAAAGACGTGGTATGTGCCTATTTGTGTGTGTGCGTGCGTGTGTGCGTGTGTGTGCTCAGACTGGAACTTGGCATGGAGGGGAGGTGAGGTTAGTTCACTGCTGGTAGGGCATAAGGCCAGGAAGGCCAGTGAGGCCACGATAAGGCCTTGAACTTTAACCGGCAGGTGGTTCTCTAGCTGGACTTTGCTCCTTGTTCTGTAGAGGTGACCTGAGAGCTAACGTTAGAGGGTTGCAGCCACGTCAGCTTCTTCCTTCTCTTGTTTGCTGGGCTTCAACGCAAAATTTCCCTCAAATTAACATCATGGGCTGTGAAATCAGAATCAGAAGAGGTGAGAAGAACGGCGGGCATAATAATGACCAGAAAGGTGTTTGTCCCCTAACCCCTGGGACTAAGAAGGCTTACAGGCCAAAAGGGAATGAGGCTGCAGAAGGAATTAAGATTACTAGTCAGCAGGCACTGAGACTGGGGGATTATCTGGGACTATCCAGGTGTGCTTGGTGTAAGTAGGAAAGAAAGGGAGAGCGGGGGAGGGAAAGGAGGCAACAGAGCAGTGGGGGAAAGGCCGTGATGGCAGAGGAGGAGCCATCCTCCTCTCACCATTCACCAAGTGAATCCTCCCCCAGCACCAGAAGGGCCTGCATCCTGGCTGACATCTTGATTTTAGGCCAGTGAGATCCATTCTTGAACTTAGCCCTCCAAGACTGTAATGTAACAAATTGACCTGAGTCCCTCTGAGACATTTGATTTAGGGTAATTTGTTATTGCAGAGATATAAACTAACAGAGGAAGCCATGGGGGTTATTTTCAGAAAGGAGGAACGGGGTCCTCGCACCTCAAGATGGACTATGAAGGGCAAAATTGTGGAGGAGTCTGGTCCCCGAAGCCCTGGACCCAAAGGAAGAAGGATAGTTAGGGATGCTCAAGGGCCGCAAGTCTGAGAAGGCTCGGAAGAATGACATCTATTGGCCAATCTTTGTTCCTGAGCTCCTGGATCCTTTGCTTTGCTTTTTGAGACAGAATTAGGTTGTATAGCTCAGGCTGGCTTTGAACTCCAGATTCTCCTGCCTCTAACTCTCAAGCGCTGGGAGGTGTGTGCCACCACCCCCAGCAAGTTTATGGATCCTATCTTGATCAAGGTCTCTTCCATTGCCGGCAATGACTCCTGCCGGCACTTGCCCAGAGAAGGCCCAGTCACTTCCTAGATGCTGGCTAGGGTCCTATCTTGGGGACTGGCCCTGGGGGAAAGACTAACAGTTCTCCTAAATACACACAACTCACTGAGAAAGGGATTGACCAAGGCAGAGGATGCAGGTAGGCTATTTGGGTCCTGGGCTTCCTAAATGAGCTCTCTTCGGCAGTACTTCACTCAGAGGAGCCCAGCAAAAGCCTGTGGAATGAAAGCAATGGAAGTCAAAAATAAATAAATACAAAAATCCCCACCTGGAACGCAGGGAAGCCTGACGTCCAGGCTTTTCCTTCATCACCCGTCCTTGTGGAGCACTTAAGAGGTGGAGTCAGGAGACCAAATAATCCAAGGTCAGCCTTAGAACACAGGGAGTTCCAAGCAAGCACAGGCTGCACAAAACCTTGTTTAAGTAAATACATAAGAGCAGGGCAGTGGTAGCACACGCCTTTAATCCCAGCACTTGGGAGACAGAGGCAGGTGGATCTCTGTGAGTTCGAGGCCAGCCTGGTCTACAGAGCAAGTTTCAGGACTGTTACACAGAGAAACCTTGTCTCAAAAATAAGAAAGGAAGAAAGAGAGAGAGAGAGAGAGAGAGAGAGAGAGAGAGAGAGAGAGAGAAGGAAAGAAAGAAAGAAAGAAAGAAAGAAAGAAAGAAAGAAAGAAAAAGAAAGAGAGAAAGATGCACAAATCAATATATACCATTCACCCTTTGGGTAAGCAAGGAAGGAAACAGGATCCTGAACTGCAGGACAGTGAAGGGAAAAGATCTGCATGTTGCCTCCCCAGGGTTCCCAGATAAGCACAAAACAGGGACAAGAATTGTCTGGTGACAGGGTTTTAAAATATCAGAGCCTTTTAGATAGTGATAAATGTGGCAGATAAAGTTCTCCCAGCAGAGAAATGTGGCTGCAAATAGAAATTAGGGTCTCAGCTTCCTTATCAGTAGATTTTAGGGGCCATGTGGCCAGACCACCATAGTCCTGCAGCCGTGACAATTCCACGCTTGTGATGATGGAGCCATGAGGGCCGTGAGGGAGCACTCAGGAGGAGCACTCCTGCTCCACAGTCTCAGAAGGCCAGTGTGGCCTGGGAGCCTGGCCTGAGAGCCCATTGCATCAGCCACAGGAAGGACTGGTTTTTCCCAGAACTGGGGCGAGGGGGCAGGGTTGGAAGGGGGAAGTTGGGAGTGGGGCTGGATAGGAAGGCCTGCCAGCTTCCTGGGTCCATGCTGGTCAGGACTTCATACAGAGCCTAACAGTCCGCTGTCCGTGGGCTCTCTGGCCAGCATTGGCTCACATTACAGCCAGCAGTAGGAAGAACCTGGAGCTCCTGATGTGACTGAGGACCCCAGAGAAGGGTCTCTGTCCGCTTGTCAATAAACAGTCCTTGATGTTTCCATAGCCAGAATAATTTTTTTTCAGCTTGAAAAATTACCCCCTTTAGCCCAATTCTTCCAGTTTCTAGGTAGGAGGCCGAGGCCTGCAGAGGCTTGTCCATACATGAGCCAGCTGTCCCTTTAAGCAGTTTTTTGGGTGGTGGATAGCACGCGTTCCTTGGTCTTGGAGGGCATACCACAGGAGCTGGGTGCGTCCACTCTCCTTTTCCCGGGGATAGCAAGTGTCTGCAGATAGGCTGGGCAGGGCCTGAGAAGCCACATGGCTGCTTTCTGAACATCAGAGGTTGCTGTCTTGCCGGTGACGTGAGTAACCCGGGTGTGTTACCTTATGTCTCCCTGATGTACGTGGAAACGTGGACAGGGTGGTGATGTAGGCAGATTGCATATGTTCATCATGGCTCTCCCCCAGATCTCAACCGCCTAGCATGCTGTTAGGACACACAGGAGGCTCTGGGCTTCTCTAGGGCTCAGAGCACACTGTGTGGGCTAAGCCACTGAGGGCAGGAGCAGGGCAGATCACAGATAGAAGGCCTCTGACCTTGGGGGATGGTGTGCCCGCGTCAATAAAGGTCAAACTCAGGGCCTTATACTGTGCAGTGAAGCCATCTGCTACTAAGCTGTGCCCTAAGGTCTGTACTGCTGGACTCTGGACCTCACCAGTCAGGACAACAGTCAAGGAAAAATCTAGGAGGTGGGGGTAGATGGCTCAGTAGGAGGATGCATTGCCCGGGAAGATTCTGAGCCTTGATCTTAGCATGGTAGAGGGGGAGGGGAGGAAAGGAGAAGGGAAAGCAGGGAGGGAGGGAGAGAGGAAGGGAGGGAGGGAGGGAGAGGGAGAGAGAAAGAGAGAAAGAGAGAGAGAGAGAGAGAGAGAGAGAGAGAGAGAGAGAGAGAGAGATTGAGATTCCTAGCAGCCTAGCAAAGCAGCCTGGGGCCCACAGACATTAGATGACATGTGTGTACATGTAGATATCATTTTCAACCTGGAAAGGCTGTCCCTCCCTCGGTCTGCAGTCGCCACCTGGGCTTGGTGCCAGCTGAGGTTACTTGGGGTCTGGCAGCCTGGGTACCACTTGCTTGTCTTGCCCTTGCTCCAGATTCACTGGTGTTCCTGGCCAGGCCCTTGACCCCAGTGCCTCTGGTGCCAATTCAGTTGGTCCAGCTTGGAGCGCTCAGGGCGAGGTTATTCCAGAAGTCACATGGGCCAGCCTCAGTTTCTCCATGTGGTTGTCGTCTTGGAAAGGAAGACTAGAGAAATCCGCACGAGCGCGCGCATGTGTATGTGTGAGATCTTAGAACCCAGAGTCTCACTGCTGCTAGGCAAGGGTTCTACTCTTTAGCCCAAGGCTGGGGAAATGAGCTGAAGATTAAGGACCAGGCCAACTTCCACACTTCCCTCCTTCCTAAGGGTCTCTTGATCGCCTCGGCCCAGGTGACTCTGATATGGCATCTGTGAGAGCAGGAACACTGTACCCCTGGAAAGACCCTGTTTTCCCTTCCTGCCTCCCTTCTTTCTCTAGCGCTAGACCGCCTGAATCCAGCCTTAGAACCACCGTGTCTCTCTCTCTCTCGCGCGCGCGCGCGCGCGCATGCATGCGTGCGTGCGTGCATGTGAGGGGGAGGTCGCAGGCATGCATACAAAGCCAAAGCTCCACCTCGGGTGCCTTTCGTCAGGAGCCCTCCTGCCCTTTGAGAAAGAGGCTCTCTGGGACCTGGGGATCAGCAATTCAGCTTTCCAGTCCAGCGGCCCCAGAATTCTTCCGTTTTCATCTTCTCGCACTAACACACCGTTTTCTATGTGGGTTCTGGCGAGCAGGCTCAGGTCCTCATACCTGTCCCCCCAGCTTAGTCAGTCTTCTGATGTGACGTGTAGGCTGGTGACGTATTATCCAGGGCTTTCTGGCTTTTTTCCCGGAGGCCTTCTTGGTTAGTAGTTTGCTGTCTGGGTGTTTCTGCAGCCCCCTCTCCCTTCTTCCTGTGGCTCCTGTGTGTCCTTGCGCACAGTTCATTTACTCACCTGATTGCCAGCCCACGTCCTCCTTTGCTTCTAATACACCCACTCATGCTGCTCCTCTGCCTCGAACCCAGAACTGTGTCTGGGAATAGGCCAGCCTCAGGTGGGATAAAAGATGCACACAGAGGCAGAATACACCGTGAGGTGCACCGGGCAAAGGGAGGCCACGCCTGTAATCTCCACACTCCGGAGGCAGAGACGTGTGGATCTCTGAGTTCGAGGCCAGCCTGGTCTAGAGGGTGAGTTCCAGGACAGCCAAGGTGACACTGAAAAACCCTGTCTCAAAAAACCAAACCAAAATAAGAACAAAACTTGAGTTGCGAGAGCCAGGCACTCAGGGAGGAGGAGCCCCTGCCCGTGGATCTACCGTGTGGATGCATAGTAGAGACTCACCCTTGAGTTTTCGAACTGCAGCCCGCTGAAGAGGCCCGGGGATGACCTGGCCGCTGGGTGAAAGAGGCAGGAGGCTGTCGTTCCAGAGGCTCCCGGGGCCCTTCTGGCCGTTCTCCATGCCACGCTGGAGACAGCTCTCCCAGGCCTGACCACAACAGAACACTCTGTTTCCCAGTCTTCCCTTGTGGCCCTGGGCTTGGGCACTCAGCAGAGGGTAATGCCCTCAGGGACCTGGATGTGGATTCAGAAGGGGTTACACAACCGGGACTGGAAAGACTTTTCCTTTGGAGATTTCCAAACGGTTCAGTTTGCAGGTGCACGCTAGCGCCAGGGAGTCTTGCGGCCCAGCAGCTGTGAGCAGCACGGGGGGCTCTAAGGACGATGCCCTGCCGCATGACCTTAGGCTAGACCCATGATCAGCTTCAACCCTGCGAGAAATTCTCTCCAGAAAGCGTAAAAACACATGAATATAGGGATAGAATGAATCAATAAAACATTTATTTTTTTTCCTAGATAAGGTTTTTCTGTAGCTTTGGTACCTGTCCTGGAACTAGCCCTTGTAGACCAGGCTGGTCTCAAACTCACAGAGATCCGCCTGCCTCTGCCTCCCGAATGCTGGGGTTAAAGGCGTGCACCACCCACCACCACCTGGCAATAAAGCATTTACTTAAAAGAACACTTTCGCTCTCACAGAGGACTTGGGTTCGAGTCCCAGCACCCACACAATGGCTCACAACTGTCTGTAACTCCAAGTCCAGAGGTCAAATGCCCTCTCTGACCTCTGAAGGCACCAGGCACAGCTGTGGTGGGCCAGACATACAAACAGGCAAAGCACTCATACATACAAAAGAAAATGCTTAGAAGTCAACCAACCAAAAACCTCACTTGCTCAATTCTGTCTATTTCCTCACTGTTTTTGTGGCCCTGTGATCAAATGCACAGCCCCTGCCTGTTATGGATTCTACCACTGAGCTACATCTCCAAACCCTGGATTGGTTTTGATTTTAGTTTTGGTTTTTCTCCGAGGCGACATTTTCCTTCGTAGCCTAGGTTGGCCTGGAACTCATTATGTAACCCAGGCTGGCCTCAAACTGGCGGTGAGCCTACTGCCCCAGCCTCCTGAATGTAGGCACTACTGGCTCAAGTCATCACAGGTGGCAAGTTCTTTAACTTAACATTCGTTTTGAAAAACTGCTCTTTCCCAACTCAGTGTAGCCAGCAACTTGATGCCAAGTCTCTAACTACGGACCGGTATGGTCTGCACTGGGCTAACGTGTCCTACAAAGCAGTTCTGCCACCGACAAGGGCTTGGTGGAAAATTACTGTAGAGAGGACTGTTAGGGTTACGCATGGCAACGCCCACTACGACTGGACTTCTGGGCTGGTTTCAGGGCTCTTTGTCTCGTACCGAGCTGTCCCATTTCAGGATTTTGTTCCTGTGTTCTTTTCACTGCCAGGTTACCCAGGCTGAAGAAGTGAGCTCTGTGTGTTAGGGGGGGAGCAAGCGGCAAAGAGGCAGCTTGACTTCAGGTAACCTAAAAGAACTATTGATTGTCTGCCCTCGAGTGCTCTGGCTGCCAAGGGGACAAAGCTTCCCTTTAGCTGGCTGGGCCAGCTGCTGAAGGAAGAGCTGGCCTCTCACTGAGGCGATCATGCAGACCCGAAATGACAAGCAGAAGTCTAGATGGATCACCTGATGTAGACACTGGGGACCAAACTCTGGGATTGGCTTAAACCAGGGCTGTGTTGCTCCAATGGCTGAGTTTTGGCACCCTGTCAATCCGCTGCCTGCTCAAAAGCCTGGAAATAGCGCCGGGGCCGTCTGTGGCACTCCTCCGGAAAGAAAGCAGCCATGCAAGTGCTAACCAAACGCTACCCCAAGAACTGCCTGCTGACGGTCATGGATCGGTACTCCGCTGCGGTGCGGAACATGGAGCAGGTGGTGATGATCCCCAGCCTTCTGCGGGATGTGCAGCTGAGCGGGCACGGGGGCTCCGTCCAGGAGGGAGCTCCGGATCTCTACACCTACTTCACCATGCTCAAGACCATCTGCGTAGAAGTGGAGCACGGGCTGCTGCCGAGGGAGGAGTGGCAGGCCAAAGTGGCCGGCAGCGAGCCCAGCGACCCTGAGAATGAGGCCTCCGAGGCAGAGGAGGCTGACGAGGAGAGGCTTGCGGGGGAGCTGGACCTAGAAGCTCAGTTCCATCGGCACTTCTCCAGCCTCCATCACATCCTTACCCACCTCACCCGGAAAGCCCAGGAGGTGACAAGGAAGTACCAGGAAATGACGGGGCAGGTGCTGTAGGCCTCCGACTCTAAGGAAGGTAATGGCAGCCATGCCAGTGGGTTATAATCCATGCAGGGACGTGAGTGAGGAGATGAACAGTGGTATAACTCAGTAGGAGGGGGCCAGGTGAACGTTCACATCAAGGGTATTGGGGCTATCAAGAGGGGGGACCCAGAACTGGCCTCCTTAGCATTGTCCCCCAGTATTGATAAGCAATGACTGTGAATTCCTACAGAGAACAGCTTATGTACATATATGTAGGAAGTAGTCTATGGACACATCCCTCCTGAGTACATGGGCATTTGTGTGTGTGTGTGTGTGTGTGTGTGTGTGTGTGTGTGCTGTGCATGTGTCTATGAATACATCCCTCCTGAGTACATGG